CACCAAATCAGCTTCATCTGTAAGTAAACAACTTCACACCTTATAAGACTTTCTGCTTGATTACACTTGGTAGATGAGTTTCAAGGAAAGGATATGCCTTTGTTTTCCTTGCACTTACATTCTAGACTTATCTTTCTCTCCTTGAAATAGCAAGAGGCAGCAGATGCTGTGAAGCCCTTCAAAGATGATCCGGCTAAACAAGAAAGATTTGAGCAGTTTCTCAAGGAGAAATACAAAGGAGGGTTACGTACAACAGACTCCAACAGAGTTAACAGCATGTCGGAATCAGCTCGTGCTCAAGAGAGGCTGGACTTTGAGGCTGCAGCTGAGGCAATTGAGAAAGGGAAAGCTTACAAGGAGGTCAGACGGGCTACTGAACAGCCTATCGACTTCCTTGCAGGAGGGCTGCAGTTTACTTCTGGCGGAACAGAGGTATGTCTACAGAATCTTCTTTGCAGTTTTCATTTGGAATTTCTATGCTCATACGTAAAACTTTCTTTTACAGCAAATTAATGACACTGGCGTGGTAGACATGAAATCGAGTAAGACGTATCCTAAAAGGGAAGAGTTCCAATGGCGTCCTTCACCTCTTTTGTGCAAGCGTTTTGATCTCCCTGATCCGTTCATGGGAAAGGTAAACAACTGGTTCCTTGGTTCTCCTTCATGAGTCATTTAAAGCTTAAATCCATTGAACACTAGAAAATAGCTTACTCTACACATCAAACGGTTAATATCTTATTCTGGAGAGCACTTGTTAGTGAAGTTTTGCATAATCATGACTTTAATTACATCGAATGTAATTTGCTCAGATATGGTGAGATATGTTAACAATGAATGATGTGCATGTTAAGATAAAAAAAAGACAGTGAGACATGCCTTCTACTTGATCTCTTTTGTTTAGGTGTGCATTATACAATTTTCAGTGCCGTTTTCTTGCTTAGGTGTAAAATTTAGTACTTGATTGATCAATACATTCCCTTAAATTTTACAGCTGCCACCTGCTCCGCGAGCGAGAAACAAAATGGATTCTCTCATATTCTTGCCAGATACAGTGAAAGCTACACGTCAAGTATCTGAGTCGCAAGAACCTAAGAAAGAGACATCAATAGAAGAGCCTGAAGTTGAGGTAGAAGTGGAGAATGTGGAGAGGCCTGTTGATCTTTATAAGGTAAAGCGGGTGTCTTTGTCTGAGAAGGTTTATGCTAGCTCAATTTGATGTTTTCGATCTATTAATATTCGGTCATGTTCACTTGTAGGCCATCTTCTCTGATGATTCTGAAGATGATGAAGATCAACCAATAACTGGAAAGATACAAGAGGGTCAAGAAAAGAAGAATGAAGCAGCTGCAACCACATTAAACCGTCTAATAGCTGGTGACTTTCTTGAATCTCTAGGGAAAGAATTAGGGTTCGAAGTACCTTCGGATGTCCCATACCAAGAAGGAATCAAGCCAATAGAAGAAGAAAGCAAGTCCAGAAGCAAACCCGAAGACTCTTCTGATAAAAGACTTGATCGATCGGGATTGAAAGAGAAAGTGGAGGAGAAGAGAAGCAGCCTCATACTTGGGTCTGAAGAAGAAAAGAGTAGAAAAAAGAGAGAGAAATCGCCAAGAAAACGAAGTGGTGGCAACGATCTATCATCGGGTGAATCCTCAGGAGATGAACGGAGGAGAAAACGATCTAATAGGAAGGATAGACATAGAAACAATAATTCAGAGAGCGATTCATCCAGTGACTACCATAACCAGGATAAGCAAGGTTCAAGATCAAGAAGAAAGCGAAGAGAATCTTCTAGAGAGAAGAGAAGTAGCCACAAGAAACACTCAAAGCATCACAGGACCAAGAAGTCATCTTCTTCTCGGTATAGCTCAGACGAAGAACAAAAAGAGTCAAGGCAAGAAAAGAAGAGGCGACGAGACTGAAACCTAATCAAAGCTGTTGACTGATTAAACTCGGGAGATATCAGAGCAGTTGCATAGATTTTTGTATGAACACTGAAACAGAGTAGTTTCGAGGTATGCAATGAATGATTCTCTGCACTGTCTCGAGATGGTCAGGTTAGATAGCAAATGATGAGATTGTCCTTTACTTTATTTATAATTATCGGTAAAAAATTAGATTATGCGTTTGAAAATATTTTCCATATAGTTTTTTTTTCAAAATTGAAAGATGTTATACAAGAAATTTCAAAATTATGTTTAAAATTCCAATCTCAAAGCTAATACACCAAAATATATCTAAACGACTGTCACAAATCCTACAAACTCTCATCAAAGCAAACTAGCTACAACATCATGCTTATTGCTTGAAGAATCCAAAACGGCACGAGCGGTTTCCAAAACGCTTTGACCACAAACGTAATGACTCCGACACACAGGCATATAAACTTCAGCTCCGCCGATCAACTCCGTCTCTTTCTCCTCCGTCTTCCTCATCGTAAACAAAGCTCTCTTCCCACAAACCTCACACCGTGACGTCAGCTTCGTAACCGTATCCGCAATCGGAATCAAATCAAGAACCGAACCAAACCTCCTCCGCTTAAAATCACCATCCAATCCAGCAACAATTACAGTTTTACCCTCTTTATCAGCAGCTTCACGGCAAAACTCGTATAGATCTCCGAAGAATTGAGCTTCGTCGATTCCTATCACATCTAATCGATTCTCGTAATCGTCGAATCCGAATCTCTCTTTGAAGGACGATAGATCGGGAAGTGACCAGCAAGGGAATTTCTCACCGTCGTGAGTTACTATTGATTCGGTGCAGTATCTTGTGTCTTTGTTTGATTTGATGATTGCGATTTGTTTACCGATTTCTTTTTCGGCAAGGATACGGCGGAGAAGTGTTGTGGTTTTACCGGAGAACATTGGTCCGACGACTACGTGTATTTCGCCGGGAGATGAGGAGAGTGGGTGGGATGACGATGATGATGTTATCGCCGTCGCTTTCGTTTTTAGTTTTCTGGTGGAAATGGCGGAGGGAGGTGAATTTGTGGGGGATTTGTTGTTGATTGCGAAGGTGGAATTGGTGAGGGAGGAGAAGCGAAGAGCGGTGGAGAAAAGAGAAGGTTTAGGGAGATGAAGAGAGAAAGGAGCAAGAGATGGTGAGATTAATGTTCTCATTGAAACACCGAACATTAGATTGCAGAGGAATTGAGGAGGAAGAAGAAGATGAAGAAGAAGCCGCAATGAATTAGGGTTTATTGGGAAAAGGGGTTTATTGGAACGACTCTTTAGTACTTTTTTTTGTATTAATGGATAGCTAAGTTTTGGAGAACAAGCTAAGAATTTTAACAGGTTTCTAAAAAAAATAACACTACTTTGATTATATAAAACATTAAAACCTTAATCATTCGAGCTAGTTTTATGACCAATAAATAGTTTTCAATCGAAAAAAAAACATTTGGAAAGAGAAAAAGAAAAGTAGAAAGAAAAAACAAATTCTTTAGAGGTGAGAATGATAATGTTTAGATGGTATGGAGTGCCTCATCACGGCTTCGATGATGAATTTTGGCTTCATCTCGGATTGTTCTGACTTCTGAGTTAATTTATATTCTAGATAATCGATTTGAGTGGTCTATGTTTGCAATAAAAATTCAACATTTTAAGTTTTTGAAGCTTTTTTTCTAGCTTTCTATATTAGATTCAGTTTATGTTGTAACAATGTCTGTGCCGATTACGTAGCAAAAAGGCAAGAGAACGAAATTTTATATTCTCTCATGTAAGTACATCGGATCCGGGATGGTTCTCTTTAAAAAATACCACTATATTCACCCGATAAATTAATATAGTGGTATTTTTATCGGAAGAAAGAATGATATGAGATCGAAACTAACCCTTCTCTTTGGTCTAGTTTGGAGACTAATAAGGCAATTACACTACGATTGGGCTATGTCTTGTGTGGACAACCTCAAATTCATTGATGTGGTATATGAGAGTGACTAACATTAATTCAAGTAGTAAAAAGACACTAGCTTTGTCAAAGACTAAGTGATCTGACTTATGTCTTTGTCTGATCTATCTAACTTTGCAAAGATCGGACAACACAAATCATCCAGACAATACATAGATAGTCACAGCTTCTGCGTCCCAATATGCATGTGATTTTTGGTCCTAGTAAAATTTGAATCTAGGAAGAGCGAATCTACACATTATCACATATGACATATCTATCTACCACTACGCCCTATATCTAGTTCCTATATCTAGTTCGACCACTAAATTTGAATTATTATTACAAATTTCTTAAATATTCATATTTTAATTTTATTTCTAAACTAAAAATAATAGAAGAAATGAAAAAGTTTACAAAATGTCTTTATCTCGCCTTCCTCGTTGTTCTTATGCTGGGCTTAATTGAGACTATTTTTTTTGCGGTTCTCCTCATTTCCGTAGTTTGTTATATTATCTGTCTATCGGTTTATGTCTCTCTCGTTTGGGTTTATGTCTCCCTCGTTTGAGCTTAGTTTCCGGGAAAATGAAAAAGAATTCTAGATAAAAAAAAAGGAAATGGTTTACAAAATAGAAAGATTAATTTTGACAAAGGAAAAAAAAGAGAGGAAATTATATAAAATGAACAAAGAAGTAAAGAAAAAAAAAACTAGTGTGAGAATCATTAGCCTGTCAATCATAGACTGGATTTTTATTGACCAAAAGGACAAAAGACGAGGATGAGAGAAATATATATGTACGGCAAAACGGTGAGTCATCAGATTCCTCCTTTCAAATTGAAAAATCTCCTCTCCTCCCAGTTATTCTCACATGCATGTATATTGTATCACATGTAACCACACGCTTCTCTCTTTCTATATATATGAGCTCGTCGATTTATAATTACTCTGCATCTATCCACTTCTGTCTAAATTTATATATATGTTTTTATCTTTCTTTTAAGATCAATAATGATTTGTGTTCATCAACCAGATCTGTGAATTATTTTTGTTTGTTTTTTTTTTTTTTTAATTCTCTCCTCATTTTTATGTTTGGATTTAGAGTGAAGTCGCTGGAGGCAGCGGTTCATCGATCAATTCCTGTGAATATTTTTGGTTTGAAAAGCATGAGTCGATCGATAAACCTCTGCATCCAGCGCTTACTCTTCCTCATCTGTTTAATAATCTTTTTGAGAAAACAAAAAAATTAAAATCTTCTCAGCTGAAATTTATCCCAAATCTAATTGAAAGTATTGATTTTTAGCTGTTGTGAAAGTGAGGGAAAACAAAATCAACTCAAATTCTTTTCAAAGGTTTGGTTTGGTTTGTTATTGTTTTGGGTAACAAATGTGTTTTTGTTTTTAGGTGTACTTCATTCCTTCCTAGTCTATCATGTGTTCATAGTTGACTTATAAACCTATCTTAAATCCTAACATGTGTTTCATGACAACTTCGGTTACAAACTTCAGTTTTGTTTTTTTTTAACTTTTTTTTAATGATTTTGTTGGCAGCTTATTTCCTTGTTCTGTTTTTTGTACAATGGTCTTGAATCTGATGACGATGATGATGCAGTTTTACTTTTTGTTTACATGTATCAAGGTTTTAGTTCCATATAGTATTGCTACTTTGCAGCTTAGTAGATCGGCCGCTAATTTTGTTCCTGAATTTTTTGGCCTGAGCATGGCTATGTTTTTATGAGTTCCTTTCTGAAATTTGTTGTGATGACGATGATGATTCAGTTTTACTTTTTGTTTACATGTATTATCAAGGTTTTAGTTCCATATAGTCTTGCTTCATCTAGCAAGTTTTTTTTTTTTGTTGAGCCATAGAATCCAACTACTTCAGCTTTGCAGATTAGTAGATCGGCTGCTAATTTTGTTCCTATTTTTTTGGCATGAGCATGGCTATGTTGTTATGAGTTCCTTCCTGAAATTTGATGTGATCTCTTGGTTTCTTGATGCAATGTGTGCTTTTGCTTGCTTCTCCGGCTCTATTTACCTGGACATTGCATTATTCTAGAACCCTTGCTGTTGCATTACTATGTTGATGTTCATTCTTGTCTATTGATAAGGAATCCACATTAGAATAGTGTAATAATTACTCAAAAACTTTGGTACATTGCGCAATCCAGAGTGTGCGATAACCCTTTAATTAGGATCCAAGTGGTGATATTCAGTGATTATCAGTCTAGAGAGCCATGCTGCTAATTCTTGTTCCTTTGGCATTACTATTTATGAAACTAGCTGTTCAAGAAGAATCAAATTCACTCTTTAAACTTTTGTGTCTCTATCTATCTCTGTTGAAAAAGACACTTTTGTTATTAGTCATTGGTCTTCTTCTTGTGTTCTCTTTTTTTTCCCCTCACCTTTGGCATCACAGAGAAAAGGTGAGGGAATCTTGTGAAGTGAATGGATTCCTAAGCTCGTGGGTTAAATTTTTCTTGGAGCAAACTTCAAATGGTAACATGATTCCATTCTCAAATTAGGTAAGAAAAGGAGAATCTTGTTCTTTTTCAAGATCAAGACTTGTTATCTTTCTTAGATTCCCTCACACAAGAGGGGCTGTAAAATATGAGAAAATACTGTGACTCTCTTTATCTTCTTATAGAGAAGTTGTGATGATGGTGGTTGTGGTACTACTAATAATATGATATGACTTTCTAGGCTGATGCTTTAGCAAACATGAACTTAATAGCATAGTAATGAAATCCATGAACCGGCATCATGCATATCCGGGTTTGAGTTTCTTTACATTGGATTTGGTAGGACTTTTCTAGAAGTTGAAATGGTGAGCTTGTTCCTTTTAAGGTCTAGTGATGGTACTAGTGATCAGGTGTGTATGCTCGTCTTTCTTCAATCATGTGCAAGTTATTAGGAATAGAGAAAAAAACTGATTTTATAAACCGAAGTGAGTCTAGATTTTACTAGTAGACGGTTGAGTAAGTGTAGGTAGGTTACTTCACTTGATCAGCATGCTCAATTCTGTTCAGTTTACAGGAGAAAAAAAAAAGAACCAGAAGAACGGAACCTAAACCAACATCAGTCCAATTTCAGAAGTTTAATCGCAGTTTTCGGTCTTGGTTCATACGAGATGATGTTTATTCTACTATGGCTTTGATTGATAACACAATTGCCGCGTTTGGAGGTTGAACCGCTTCTTCCATAACCAATCGAACGGATGGAACATATTGTTCGAAGAGGCGGCTAAAACAGATAGTTTACCAAATTGGCGGTTGGATTTTTCCTATTTTGATTTGTATGTTTTCTAATGTTTCAATGTATTCATTTTTTTGTTGCTCTTATTATGTAGTACACCTCTGATATTACTGTTACAAAAAAATTCTTGTACGACATATATCAAAGTATTGGATCGGCAACGAATGGCTAAGCTTGAACACAAAATTGCCACGTAGGATAAGTCTGACCAATTAGAACCCATCTTTCAAATCCCCTTTCTTCAATCTTAACCAGAAACTCAATTTATTTATAATCTTTAGAAAAAAGGTAATGAAAGCTGAAGAAACAGTTTGCAGACAAACATTGAAGAGAAGCTCTAAAGATTCTTTGTCTCTTTCTCTGTCGTATTTATTTGAAAAAAGTTTGGCAGAGAAAACCATGGCTATGGCGGAGATGGCTATGAAGTCTTCACTATCTGCAAAACTCACTCTTCCTTCTTCTTCTTCTTCTTCTAAGAAGACACTGAGACAAATCTCTGTATCACTACCAACATCAACTTCAATCTCTCTGTTATCTCTCTTTGCATCTCCTCCTCATGAAGCTAAAGCTGCTGTTTCCATTTCAAAGGACCAAATCGTCTCCTCTATCACTGAAGTAATGATAATCTCACTTAACTCTGTCTTGTAATGACCAAATTGTCTCCTTTTGTTTATAAGTGTTCTTGTGTCTTGAACAGGTGGAGAAAACAATCAATCAAGTTCAAGAAACTGGTTCTAGTGTTTTTGATGCAACGCAGCGTGTGTTCCAAGTAGTAGGAGATGCTCTTAAACCAGCTTTGGATACTGCTTTACCACTCGCAAAGCAAGCTGGTGAAGAAGCTATAAAGCTTGCTTCTCCTGCTTTCTCAGAAGCTTCAAAGAAAGCTCAAGAAGCAATGCAGAGCTCTGGTTTTGATTCAGAGCCTGTCTTTAATGCTGCAAAGGTTAGATTTTTCACATTCAAATTTGTTTGAAAGACTCAGAAATATAGGTTTGGGGTTTAGGGTTTAGAGTGGTTTGTGACACAAACTTTGTGTGTGTTTTGATTGGGATGTAGACAGTAACAGATGTAGCGCAACAGACAACAAAAGCGATTGAAGATGCTAAGCCGATTGCTTCATCGACCATTGAAACAATTTCGTCAGCTGATCCTAATGTCATTGTTGTTGCTGCTGGTGCTGCGTTTCTTGCTTACCTTCTTCTCCCTCCTGTTTGGTCTGCCATCTCTTTTAACTTCCGTGGTTACAAAGGTACCTCATTCTTTTGAGTCTGAAATTTCATATATATCATCTTGAAACAACATAAATGAGATTTTGATTTATGGTGAAAATGTAACAAATGTTATTGGTTATTTGGTTATTAGTGATCTATTTAGTATCTAGAGTTTAATTCACAACATAGCAAAAAGTTGAGAACTTACTCTGTGTTTGTGGTTTTATGTTTTTTAATAAAGGTGATCTCACGCCGGCTCAAACGCTTGATCTTCTTTGCACCAAGAACTACTTGATGGTAGATATAAGATCAGAGAAAGACAAGGAGAAAGCCGGGATTCCACGGCTTCCTTCAAATGCTAAGAACCGTGTGATCTCCATTCCGTACGTGATTGTTTTAACCTGTGATCATTCTTTTTGGATTTTACTATACCCGCAGATTTGAAAGAAACACAAAACTATGTTCTTGTAATCATCAGATTAGAAGAACTACCAAACAAAGTAAAAGGAATAGTGAGGAGCTCGAAACGGGTTGAAGCAGAGATAGCAGCATTAAAGATTTCTTACCTCAAGAGAATCAACAAAGGCTCCAATATCATCATTTTAGACTCGTGAGTTTTGTTAATATCTCTTTACAAGACCTTTTTGTGAATCTTTTGTAATCTTTATTGGTCTTTTTATGGCTTGTAGGTACTCGGATTCGGCTAAAATAGTGGCGAAAACGTTAAAGGTTCTCGGGTTCAAGAATTGTTATATTGTGACAGATGGATTCTCTGGTGGCAGAGGATGGTTACAGAGCCGGTTAGGCACTGATTCTTACAACTTCTCGTTCGCGCAAGTCTTGTCTCCATCGCGTATTATCCCGGCAGCTTCTAGAAGTTTTGGTACTAAATCCGGAACCAAGTTCCTTCCTAGCTCCGACTGAAAAACAAGAGGATACTATATATAGTTTAAAAGTGTTGTTTTATATTCCCTTTTGATAAGATTTTCGAATCATTACTTGTCCTTTTTTACATTGATGATCATTTGTGGAACCAGAGAAAAAAAAAAGAAGATGAAATTGAAACAGTAGTAGCTGATCATTTAAAATAGAAATGAAAATTCATGGAAAAGTTATGAATAAGTTATTATGGACTCTAATTGTAATATCACATGTAGATGCAAAATCATTTTGGACATCTGGTAGGTATGTGTGGCCTTAGCTTTATCTTAAAGTGGGACTGCCAATAACTTTTTGATAAAATCCATTTTAAAATGGTTGAAGATATAAAAATTAGATGAGTTTTTTTGGAGTTTAGTTCAGTGTTTTCAATAATGTGAAAATCAAGATATAAATTTGGTAAAATAAACTTCTATAGTGTAAGATTTCATTGAAATCTTAAACGTTTTTTACTCTACTGATTCATATAATTCAAACTAGTGTATCTAGACTGAAATAAACATCACAACCAAATAAGATGATGATCAAAAGTCGAAAAGAGAAAGAAAGAAGATAAACAAAAAGGGTGTCAGAGGATACAACTACACAATGTATATAGACTGAAACCAATTTGTAGATACATAAAATCATATAAAGTAACCAAATGTAAAGTGTTATCTTCTTATTGGAAAAAAAGTGTTATCTTCTTTTCCTCAATATATCATTCAATCAACTTTGAGAGATCTTTGATCATTACCACATGCTTTTTAATGTTACTCTAACTCTTATCTCACTTCTATTATGATTCCTAACAT